ACCTCGGTTCTCGAACGTCTTAAATGTCGAACAAATCGGTTTTCGAACAGAAAATTTGAAATGAAAATGCCTCGATTATCGAACAAAATTTCGGTTCTCGAACAACATAGCCGAAGCGAGTTAACCCGAACGGAGTCATTTCTGAGTCTACCGCCATGTTGTATACACTTTTCTGTTGTGCCGTGATTTTCTTTTCCAATTTTATTTTACTGTGACTTTTTTTTTCTCTACATTTATTCCTATCGGGAAAATAGTTTCGGTTTACGAAAATTTCAGGTTACGAACGGCCTTCAGAAACGAATTAAATTCGTCAACCGAGGTTCCACTGTATTTTACTATATGATCTCGCTGGAGGAAGAAAGAAGAAACAGATTTATTCTTTTCCCGATAGCATAAGTGTAAAAATGAACACAACTGCCCCGGTCGGTGTTTGAACTCGTCCAGCTGATTTTATTTATCAGAGGCAATAACACCATTTACATATACCGAAAATTTTAGTTAATATTTCTATCAGTAAATATTCTGAAACTTAATTGCTTTTGCCGTTTTCAGTTAAGTTGTAACAATACAGTAAAAATACAAATAATTTTATAGACTGCATATGTGTATATATACGTAACTACATCAGTATTTCTTTAGCTCTACAATGATTCTAACCTATTTCTGCTTTATATTAACGATCTGCACTTGAGAAATAATTTGTAAATATATATGCGCGCGATACAACGGTTTATGGGTGCACCTAAAAAAAATCTAGAACACTAAAGCCTGGCAGCTGATCTCACCTTTGACCTAACCGCCACACCCCTATGGTGAGGGAAACTGACTTATATCATTCTATACCTCCAAAACCAAACTAGTTTCATAATAATAATAATAATAATGAATTTTTTTCAAGAATTTTTTCATTTTTTTTAAATAGAATAATTTATAAAGTTTTAAATTTTCTAAATTTCTCTATTAATTTGTACGGTTAGGTGATATTGTTATAAAGTAAAAACTATATTTAATCATAAACGTAAACTTACTACAATTCATCGACCGCTTATATTTTTAAAAGAAATTTGAATTTTGTGTGTGTGTGTGTGTGTGTGTGTGTGTGTGTGTGTGTGTGTGTGTGTGTGTGTGTGTGTGTAAATGTGCAGATTTTTGTAAATACGATATTATCAGAAAATAAGAGCGATGACTATAATAAATTTAAAACCAAAGTACCTAATAGTCAATGAAACATTAGATAACGGAGAATATTTTTCTAATTTTTTCAACTCATTTTACTCCATTCAAGGTGAATGGCTGTACTACCAATGAGGCTCCTAGCCTGGAATGGCTATTGGGACTCTAGCTTACACCAGGTCCTCAAGTAGAACTCGTATATACGACCCATCTCTAAAAAGTCTGGAAAAATGGTCGTTTCCTTGTAACCCTCCAGAATGTACCTGACTTCTACCATGCTCTTTGATTCCAAGAGTCAGATAAAACCAAAAATGGATTATTGGTGCCACGTCAGAGTTCATAATCTTTTACGCGACCTTGTGGATAATGAATTATTTCCCGCCTTACAAGCCCTTTTCCCACAGAAGTAACATTACTCTATCGCTATTTCCATGGCAACTGTTCTTAGTTCCATCGGTTCAGACCTTCACAGCGAGAACTCGCCTTGTCACGTACACTCATCCTCATTTCCCTTCGTATTCCATTAGCAAGGAGGAAGTTTTACTCCGAGAGCTTCTTCCCAAAGTTTTATCTTTGTGGAACAGGTTTCCAAAGGATTTTCCCTAATCACTACGGTACTAAGTACTTCACGTTTAGGTTCAACCGTTATCTAACCTACATATCCTCAAAATCTACACTTCTTACTTGCATCCTCCAGTAACCCTCTACCTTGAGTGATTCTTGGGCCTTGTAAGCTTAATGATATAAAGTCATTTTTACGCATATATTGATTTTTTTTTGTCAATTTCTTTAATTCAATGCCGCTCTGTTACATCTTATGTCTGCCCGGCAAAAAAAGAAAATAGCCGACCTAGGGAAATGGAGCCTTAGTCCGCTTCACCCTTCAGTTGAATTGTATAGTAATGGTAATTGTAGTATGAACTGTTTGAGGATTTTATTGGTAGTAGAAAACTTAATAACCGCCATAAATAGACAAAATTTATTTTAAATACTGCTCATGAGAAAAGATAAAAGGCAAAATTAAAAATGAGCGAGATAATCGGTTTCAAACCTCGAACTAAATCAAGGTTAATAAAGGTATAATTATTAATAAAAATATGGACAATATGTAGGGAAAAAATACTCTTAAATGGAAATTAATTGGAGGCCCAAGACAAATTCCTTCTGTTTACATAATCAAGGTTTCAAGGAAGAAATATATATGGCCTCGAATATTTTCAAGTGGTAATTTGAGTGGGATTTACTGAGGACGGAAAACAAGCCCCACCTTAAAATTAACGGCACACTTATGGTTATTTATCAGGTGATCCACAATGGAAGACCCAGATGTGTTGGCCAGAATATCTGACGAAGAATGCTTCAAATTTCACATTTTTGTTGGTACACGCTGTTTTATTCTGACCTTCAGCCTTTGAGTCGTTCTTTCTATGTAGTGTGAACCACAACTATATTTAAATGAATAAATGAAAGAACTATTATGATGTGGAAGAAGAACGTCTTTCCTCATGGGTGGAAGGTGTAACAAAAGACAGAACTTATAAGGAAACATTTGGCATTCATTGATCGAGCAGCCAGTGTTACTATCAGATGAAATTTATAAAATCTTTTTTAATTAAAACAAAGTTTTAAAAATAGGTTTCTCATATCTAGTAATTCTTATCGTTTCCTTCAAGTACTGATAGAGGTTTCCTTCCTAACCTTTTGTTTGAAGTAGTGTGAAATGTCAACATCTTGATTAGGTCATTATTTTCTCTTCTCAAGCCCACTAGCTGTTATCACTCTTTACAGTATCGATGGAAGTTTCCTTCCTAAACTTTTGTTTGAAGTATTGTGGAATGTCAACATCTTGATTGTGTTATTATTTTCTCTTCTCAAGCCCAGTATCTGTTATCACTCTTTCCAGTATTAATGGAGGATTTCCTTCCTAACCTTTTGCTTAAAGTAGTGTGGAATATCAACATCTTGATTACATCATTATTTTCTCTTCTCAAGCCCAGTAGCTGTTATCACTCTTTCCAGTATTGATGGAAGTTTCCTTTCTAACCTTTTGTTTGAAGTAGTGTGGTATGCTGACATCCTGATCATTGAGTATTTTTATTCGCATCACATATGCAATCCATTTCAGTTGTTGCCGTTGTTGAAAGTCTTCAAGTGAAGTGATTTCTGTTATTTGCTACATTTCTTTGTTTGTGATTCTGTTTCGCCAGTCCTCCGGTTCTCGCTAAGACCTACAGGCTTCATTAGAATCAAGGGTTTTCTTTTCTTTTTTCTTTTTCTTTTCAATTGAGTTCAAATTTCATCCGTTATTGCAACAGGTGACATTAAATTCACAATTCCCACATGTTAAAAGTTTTTAAAACACACTTTTAAATGAAGTATATTCCTGGGTAAGACGATAAACTACATCTGGCAGCAAGGCCTCTGATCAGGAGGTTTTGAGGAGCATGGAACCACCTCTTAATTGCTGGTGTTCCCAAGCCCATCCTGACCCGGGGTGGTAGCACCTGTTAAGATCCCAGCTATCGTCAGAAAGTGAACCCTCAAACAAAAGCTAAACATAATGAAAGTACAAAAATAGATATTTATAGTATAAATACCAATAATACATATTTATAGTAAAATGACCAATAATATGTTTCATTATCTGTCTATATTTGTGAGGCATTATGTACACTACTTACATTATTTAGACTATTGTCCTCATCTTTGTTGCCGTATTTATTACAACGTTTCGGCCTTTCAGTATCTGTCTATATTTCTGAGATGAGGTATTATGTACACTATTTACATTATTCGGACTATTGTCCTCATCTTCATCGCCATATTTATTACAACGTTTCGGCCTTTCAGTATCTGTCTATATTTCTGAGATGAGGTATTATGTACACTATTTACATTATTCGGACTATTATCCTCATCTTTGTTGCCATATTTATTACAACGTTTCGGCCTTTCAGTATCTGTCTATATTTCTGAGATGAGGTAATATATACACTATTTACATTATTCGGACTATTATCCTCATCTTTGTTGCCATATTTATCACAACGTTTCGGCCATTGTACACTCCGGGCTTCTTCAGGTGGTTGGAATGTCCAACTGAGCCCTTTATTTCGCTCGCTGGGGTAGACTGTTCTAGTTCCACGTGCCATATCTAATGGATTGTCCTCAAGGACACATGTCACAGTGGATGAAGGCGTTAGTTAGATCCAGTGACAGGACCCAAAGAGGGTGAATTCAATACCCGGTTAAGACAGTGAAGAACTTGGAGAGGAGAATTAACAGGAGATAACTGATAACGGACATCCATTAGACATGGCACGTGGAACTAGAACAGTCTATGAAAATGTCATGATGCCATTTCTAACCTTAGGTCTCTGGGCAGGACCCAGAAAGAAATGTTTACACACCAGAAATCAAAGGAAATAATAATAATAATAATAATAATAATAATAATAATAATAATAATAATACAAGGACCTGGAGATCGAGATTAACAGGATGTGGGGAATGAAAACTGAGACTGTACCAATAGTAATCAGAGCTCTGGGCCTCGTGAAAAAAGGAGTGGACAATTTTACTAACAGTGTCTCATGTAACATCAACATACAAGTTTCCCAGAAAATCGCCCATATACTAAGAAAATTGCTTTCAATTAAATGACAATTCTACTGTAGGGCCTAAGGACCATAGTTTGGACCCGACTCTACAGGATACAAAGCAGAAAACATAACACACAAATATTATTATTATTAATAATAATAATAATAATATGCAGAAAATATGGCTTAAAGTGCATGGAGAAGAGGTACAAGCATTCAGCACCGTCAGAAGCTGTGAATGAGCAAGTAATGCGTATATTTGACAGGGGTAAAGAAATGTATTCCAGGGCATAACGACGTGTTAACTAAGAAACGAAGGGACAAGCGGAATTATATTTTATTCTAGTGGACATAAAGTGGGAGATCGATCTTCAGCTATTATTTAGTAAACAGGCCCACTTTAATAAGTATATGCTAATAAGTGGAAAATATATTAAAAGCATCACATGTAAAAATCGTTTGAAAAATAATGATTTAACAAAATCTACCACCATTTGTATGACATAAACAAACTGGTAATAATACACTATTCCACAGAATATACAGTTGTGTATCGCTTTTCGACTGTTATTGACTACTAAACGGATTCGACTAAATAACTACAAATTGATATAAAAAGTACTAAAAACATAGATGTCAGTCTACCATTTTAGTCTATAAACTGAAGATTTCATTCCATTCGTCCATAAACTGAAGATTGCTGGCAAAATTAGTCTGGTGTTTCGGCAATGTATTTCGAGGTTCTTTATAAAATCCAAAGAAGTATCTACAATGTTATTGGTCTTGATCTGGCATCTCAACTTCAGTTACATTCCCCATCGCCATAACGTAGCTTCTCTATACCTGTTTTAGAAATACTTTCATGGTAACACTTTCATCTGATGAACTTTCCTCTATGGTTTCTAGATTTTAAGAATTTAAGCGCACTAGTAGATTGGTGGCAAAGTCTCATCATTTTACAGTTGAGCTGGCTAGATGTAACCGTAAGTTCTATGCTAACAGTTTCTTCTCACTCTCTTCTCGTTTGCAGAAACAGCTTCTGGTTTCTTGCTCTCTAATCATTTTTGATATTTCAAAATTTAAATACAATGTCAATCGTTATCTGTTTTCTCAATTCCTGTTTTTTTTATTGTTCTCTCTCCTTCATAGTGGTTTCCTCTTTTTTTATTGTTTTCTCTCCTTAATAATGTTTTTTTCTCATATTCTCTATCCCCTTGCGTTGTAGTGATTCATAGACTTTCTTGAGGGGAAATGATAAAACAGGGACTCGACATGTCGTTATAAATGTTACCAACTACAAATTTCATGTTAAATAAGCTATGAAATTTTTACATATAAAATCAAACCACGCGTACTTAATATATTTAACCATCAGCATGTGAAAACCTTCTTGATAATAGTTGCGACAGGGCTTCGAAAATCTGACACTCAGAGGACAGATTGAAGGCAAGGACATAGGAGAAGAACAATGCGGAGGAAATTGTGGAGAGCCATGATCGTCAGATTGAAAGCAAGAAGGATATAGAAAAAGAACGAACTTCTGTAAATAGATGGTGGAACAAGTTTTAGTAGAAATAACAAAAAGACTAAATTTATTAAGAGCTACAATGCGCAGGAAATTGTGGAGAGCCATAATCGCCACCGTCCAAAAGGGATATTTACATAGAAAAAGAAGAATGGGTTTGTGTAAATAGCTAGCGGAATATCTTTTAGAAGATATAACAAAAAGGCAAAATTTGTTTTTTTATGAAATATAAAGAGTAAAAAATTGTGCCGAGCCAACATCTTGAATGCACACAGCACTTAAAAGAAAAAGAATCAATTTGCGCAAATGAATGGCAGAACAGGGTTTTAGGAGTGATAACAAAAAGACAATATTTATTAAAATCTACAAAAGACAGGAAATTGTAGAGAGCCACGATCGCCAACGTCCTGAAATGAGACGACACTCAGAAGAAAAAAGACTTAACAAAAGACGTCGCCATTTTTTGACATTATGGGCAAAGTGTTTATTAAATAATGATGTCAATTGTTTGCTAGTGAGAATGTCAGCTGATCTATTTTTGGTAAAATGCGACAAGTGGAAGGAACTTAAGCATTTGTTTTTAACTCTTTTCACTACTTGCATCAATTGCAAAGCACAAATTACTTCAATCATCAGTATCCGCATGGTCCCCAAGCAACTGTAATATTGACATGTCTACCAAAGAGCCATCATTGTTGTAATTCTTTTTCTACAAATATGTCTAATTAGCAAAAAAAAAAAATACATTATTCATTATAGTAACAAAATAACTTCATATGCGTAAGAAAAAAACATCCATTTGCTAAAAGCATGCATGTAGATGTGCAATGGGATGCAATGGATATCGAGTCGAGTTCGAATTCCAGTCGGGTTCGTTAAATTCACCTACGTACAAATACCCTTGCTAAAAGTATGCATCCATCTTCTACCCCCAGCTATTGGTTAAATAGCCGGACAGAACGGGTTCTATAGCCATGTTTGGCAACCAGTCTAACACAAAAAGAAATGGCAACCTACTGCGGAAATATATTCTACCTAGTCAGTCATGAATCAAAAGACACGTTTGTCTAAATAGTTGACGGAACAGAATTTAAGAAAGGTGACAAAAATTGAAAAATTATTAAGAGCTACAAAGAACAGGAAATTGTGGAGAGACATGATTGCTAGTGTCATGAAGGGACATGTCACATAGAAGAAGAATTAGGTATTACGTATATGGTTTTTAACTGACTGAATACCATGCATATTGTAATAAGCAACATTTTTTTTTATATAATTTCACCTCAAGCAAGGCAATAATGCCACTAAGGTGCATTGGGTTACTGAAAATGACAGAATATGAGAAAAAGGAAACATTATTAGAGAGAAAAGAATAAAAGAACAGGAATTAAGACGATAACGATTGACATTGGATTTACATTTTTTTTTTTTGTGTGTTTAAATTTCCGTATCTAGTATTCACCAATAAAATGCTGGTAACTGCTTGTAACAGTTAAAACAAGATATGAAATTCAGTCGAGAGGAAATATTCCATAATAACCATTCTTCATGGCCGAAAAGCTGAAACATGTATTCGTCTATTTTCACACGTTTTCATATTATATATATATATATATATATATATATATATATATATATATATATAAAAAACCTAATGAGCCAGGGAAACCTACCTAGGTTTCACCTAAAAGGATCTTTTTCTTTTTTTTCGTTAATTAAAGAACGTAACCCCTACCCACTGTTGGTTGAGTTTTTTTTTAGGGGGGGATTCTTGTTTTGTTTTTGTTTTTTTGTCACGTGGTCATGGTTATTTTTGGTTTAAGCTATATACTCTGTAGCATTGTCTTCCTTTTCGGCCAGCATTGCCCTGACGATCCTTTTAATTGAAACTTAGGTAGGTTTGCCTGGCTCATTAGATTTATCTTAGGTTTGCTCTACTTCGTGTATTGAGCACTTTATGTAGTTGCCTTTTACTCGTTTTGGAGGGTTTTTTTTTCTTTGAACTCTGAACTTGAATTCTGGACGATTGTTTTCGCTTCAATTTCATGTTCTTGGTTCTTTCTTTTTTATTCCTCATTTTTCCTTGAGTGCTGGTTTGTTCTATTACAAGTCGAAGCATCCATGGTTTTTCCAAGTATATGTACCACATATATATATATATATATATATATATATATATATATATATATATATATATAGTACAGGTAATCGATCCGTTGATATATAATCCGGGTGGATCCTAGTAATATTAATTATTAAAACTGATCCACAGAGAGTTCAATGTATTTATTATAACAAAGAAAAAAGTTCCCTCAGCATGGGTATAGTCTATTTCAAGCCGTTCTGTACGCGGCTATCATCAGCACCTATATGTATATATCATAAGCTAAATTAATATTGTTTGCTGATATTATAATTGTTCTTCTTGTTATTGCGATGTGGGTGCAAAAAATGTCTGTAATGAACGCGTTACTAAATTCACTGACGTCATTCTTCTCTTGACTCACAACTTTTGAATGTCCCCATTTTCAGGCTGTGTTCAGTTGTGGCTGTTTTTTAGCTCATTTATTTTACTTGTCACAATATATATATTAGCTGAAGTACCTACCTACATCAGGTAAAAATATAAGATGTACATCACTGGTAGTGATTATGATAACAGAACAAATCCTTACTACTATAAAGGTAAACTGGGAAAGATTTTTTCCATTTGTCATTTTATACCAATTTGTTTATCCACATAATTATTCTGGGAAATTTAACTATATATATATATATATATATATATATATATATATATATATATATATATATATATCGTTAAATCGTGACAGAAAAGGAACATTAAATTACATTTTATTTAGTTATTCATGCATCCATGATTTCCATATATATATATGTGTGTGTGTGTGTGTGTGTGTGTGCGTGTGTAGATAGATTGACAAAGACTGACATAGATAGATAGATAGATAGATAGGAACAGTCTTAGATAGATAGATAGATAGATAGATAGATAGATAGATAGATAGATATTCATAAAGACAGATATAAATAGGCTAAGATAGATATGAACAGAATGAGATAGATAGATAGATAGAGAGATAGATAGATAGATAGCCAGTCAGCAAAAATTCAATGAGTTCAGTAAATTGTCTGCCATTTGCCATATTTTAGTAATTTATTTCGCCTAACTGAAGGCAAATTTTTAAAAAAAAGTCTTTTCTTTTTTTTTTTTTTAAATTATCAAGAGGTGAATTAGATCAGCTAAGCGAATAGTTGTCCTCCTTTTTTATCCCCCGTCCTTTTATTTTACACACAATCTATTTAAATATACAAAGGACGACAAACTGTTTTCATAACAAAGAGACTAACATTTCCGGGAATATCAGCGGGGGTCTTCATGAACTCGTGATTTCTCTATTGTGAATGGTCGGCGTACCCAGCTAAAACTCATCAACCCAAATTTTGCACGCAAATCTGTGTAACGAAGATATTTGTAAAGTTGAGCTCAATCAGACACAAGACCCCTAATTTAGAGCTCACAGCTCGAATAAAACTCTCTAATAATTTGCTAGACTAGTTTGTTAATAATTGCCCGAAAACAATGTTTCAAAAGTAAGATAGCTGGTAATATTTGTTATTAGGGCATATCAACCTCAATAAGTTATTTAATGCCGGCAAGAATTTTAGGATAGGTTTGTATGAATAGAATATGTATTTGTTGCTGGTAAAGTTTTTTTCTTTTTTTTTTTTTTTTTTTTTTTGTTTTCAAAAATGAATTGCTGGTATTTTTTTACTATAAAACTCTATTCTTATATTTTCATAGTGTTTTTAACCAGTTTGAGAATTAAATATTTGCCCATAACTGGAATCCCGAACAGTTGCTACCACCCCGTCTGAGGCTGAACCTGGTAACAACAGCAATTAAGAGTTGGCTTCGCCATGCTCAAAACCTCCCGATTACAGGCCTTGGTGTCGGATGTAGTTTATCGTCCTGCCCAGGACGTTCAAAAGAAGCATTTAAAACTGAAAAAAGATTCGCCAAAATTTATCTTGCACATATTTCTGCTATTTATCCATGCATTGCATATTGCTATCACATCGTCTCTGCTACATCTGGTATGTATCTATGTAGAGATTCTTGATAAAATCCAAATAAGTATCTGCAATGTTATTAGTCTTGATCTAGCATCTCGGCTTCTGTCACTTTCTCACCACCGAAATGTATCTTCTCTGTGCCTTTTCTATAAAATACTTTCATGGTAATTGTTCTGGTGAACTTTTCTCTATGGTACCTAGACTTTATAAATTTAATAGCAGTACTAGATTGGCGGCAAGGTCTCATCATTTTACAATTGGAATTGCTAGATGTAACCGTAAGTTCTATGCTAACAGTTTCTTCTCTCACGCTCTTCGCTTGTGGAACACTCTTCCAACTTCTAGCTACCCAGTCAGCTTTGATCTTCAAAAATCTAAATACAATGTCAATCTTTATCTTCTGTCTTCTCTCTTTTTTTTTCTATTTCTTTTATTCTTTCACACTCAGTAGCCCCTTGTTTCTTAGTGGCTTTCTTGCCTTGATTCGGACTGAAATGGTTAAAAATGATTTTAATTGAAATATTCAATCATTTTCTTTTGAAATATAAGTCTCAAGACAGAATCGAAACAGGCCGAATCATTTTGGTCACGAAACCGGACATCAAGGTCTTTGAAAATAATAAATCCTCATCGATGTAACTGTTCCTAGTGACCATAATATCAAGGTCGGAAAAATAGACAAGCTTAACCCTAGAACACTAACCCTGGGTACCCATAGTACCCAGCGCAAATTTTCCTAATTTTAATTACAATTTTCAGTACCTGATTTTTTTACCTAAATAATGTTTTTCAGTTCCTATTAATGTTAACTCAAAGTACAAAGTTTGAAGTGTCTGCATGTAAAATATTTAAAATAAAGATTCATATTTTTTTTTTTTTTGATATTTTCAAAATCGGGTATGATAGACCCATGGTTAGCTGTGGTGTAACTTTAATTGATGATTGGTGTTTTAGGGTTAAAAAAAAAATACACCGACGTACGGATTAAGTTTACCAATAACGTAGGCCGTTCAGGTCCTTATTGTCCCACTTATTATTGAGGCGTTCGGGTTTATACCACCGAACATAAAGTCATATCTAGAAAAAATCGGAATATAATCTTGTATCCCATTGCTTCAAAAGTCTGCGTTGCTTGGTACTGCAGATATTCTCCATAATGTTTTATCAGTTTGAGGTCGTACGACAAAACGAAAAAACGTGCGGAATAATAATAATAATAATAAAAATAATAATAATACACACAGACAGAACAATCAAGCCTAATCGCCCTGACATCGAGATTAGAGACCGCAAAATGTGCCTCCTTATTGACATGGCAGTCCCTGCAGACTTCAATGTATTTTTGAAGATCTTCAAAAAAACTATCAAAATACAAGAACCTTCAGATCGAAATCTCAAAATGTGGCATTGAGAACATCACCAATTCCAGTTGTAGTTGGAGCACTCGGATTTACTGGAAAAGTTTCCAATAGACTCAATGAAGGAATACCAGGTATCCCATGCTTTAAAGAAATACAAAAAAAATTGGATTCATCAGTCCAGCCCACACCTTACGAAGGGCTTCATCTGTGTAAAATATGTGATTTTTTTTCTTAAAACTGCTTAGTGAAAAATGTTATGATTCCATTTCTGACCTTAGGTCTCTTGTTGGTACCCGGAAAGAAATTAGTATACACCAGAAACCAAAAGAAATAATAATAATAATAATAATAATAATAATAATAACATGCAGAAAGTATGGCTTCGAGTGCAGAGAGGAAAGATACAGGCATTCGGCACCGTCAGTAGCCGTGAATGAGCAAGTAATGCGCGTGTGAGATACGACCATATTGACTGACAAGCGCTTGGGAGCAATCGCCCTGATATCGAACAAGACCCGCCGTGAATGGATCCTGATAGGCGTTACAGTACCTTTGAGTAAAAACATCGTGATGACGTATCAGTTGAAAATACACAGGTAGCAAAGAACTGTCAGGGAAAATCAAAGAAATATACCAAACAACAACTCAAATTGTCCATATTGTTACATTCGGGACTATTTCCAGGAATCTTTCTGTCTCGTAGAATACCTTGGGGAGACCTGAAAGCATTGGGAGTGCGCAGGTAACAGCGCTGCTTGGGACCGTTCACATGCTGATAAAAGTGTTGTGTCTCTAAGCTGTGGGTAGGTGCCACGATATGATCATCACCTGGCCGGAGAGGGTATTAAATAATAATAATAATAATAATAATAATAATAATAATAATATGCCAAACATAACTCTCATAGCTTCTGCTTACAAATGACTCGAAGTTTACCTGGCCTTAATTCTCCTGAAAAATTATTTTAAGAGAAAGATTTTATAAATTCCACCCGAAAAATCTATAGTCATGAACGCGAGTAAAGGGAGATAATCATGTAGTTAAAGAGTTGTTCTTTTTGGTTTTTTTTTTTTTATCTCTGTTTGAATTTCTGGGACGAGTTATTATTATTATTTACATACGGAGTGTTGCCCTCATGTTTGTTGTTGTTATTGCAACGTTAGGTTTAACTTCTACAAGTTCTTTACAGAGAAATGTTCTTCGGAACACTAGCCTTGTTCAGGGGTCGGCAACCTTTTGCTAATTACGTGCCAACTTAGGGTTTAAAAATCATTCAGTGTGACAACAGCAAATGTATTTTTATACAAGTCAAGGTCAATATACCTGTTTTATATAGTAATATATTTATAGTAATATATATATTTTTATATAGTAATATATTTAATATGTAAACCACATTAATAGAAATAAACTATTTTAAAGAGGTTTTTTTTTTTTTTTTTTTTTTAAAGATTTTATTATTAATTGGAGTCCAAGGAGTGAGCAATTTTAAAAGAGCTTTGTAATAGTTATTGGTTCGGACTTCGTGATGATATTTGCGACTGCGTGCCATTGAAAATTGCTTGGCGTGCCACGTGTGACGTAGGTTGCCGACCACTGGAGTTTATTAAAGCATCGGTTCGTGAATTTGGTGACATATTAACTGTGAGTTCAATCCCGGTCGGTAGAAACAGGACGAACGGAAACTGAGCAGTACTAAAAATAAAAACTAGACCAGGGCAGTGGAACGGGAACAGTCTACCCCGGTCGAATAAAGAAAGGGTTCAGCTTGGAATACCTTATGAAGACCGGAGAGTCGAACGGAGTGACGCCAACAACGATGACGGGGACAATAGTCCGAATATAAAAAGTGTAAAATATATATATATATATATATATATATATATATATATATATATATATATATATATATATATATATATATGTATATATATATATATATATTATGAAGGATCAGGCAGGTAAGATATAGATAATTGAGACACCCCAACCGGTGACCGTCAGAGCGGAATGACTTTCTCGCCTTGAAAGTATCTCTAATTGTCAAAATCTGTTATCATATCGTGGAAATGAATCTAAATTTAATGTATATATCTAGTATATACTTATCAAACTTGGGCACCTCGAAGCGGTGTAAATGTTAGCAAGCATGTCTCGCTAAAACAATTATGATCCTCATTCGATCCTCACTGGGTGCCCCATACTTTCGGCCTTGTGCCAGATCTGAGCTACGCTTGGAAAATCACTATTGGCACCTAGAGGCGGTGTAATGGTTAGCAAGCTTGGCTTGCTAGGACAATTTAGACTGAGTAATGAGTTCGATCCTCACTGGGTGCCCCATACTTTCGGCCTTGTGCCACATCTAAGCTAGGCTTGGGAAATCACTATACTTATCAGACGTGTTTCGTACATTTGTAAACTAGCGTCACTTTGTTGACCTGATGTCTGCTCATTCAATAATGATAATAATTTATCACGAGATAAAGAGAAAACAATTGCATTGTTTGCTTTGTTTTTTGGTTTTTTTTTTTCTTTTCATTTTATTGTCAAACAAGATCCGGTTTCATAGAAATCAATTCAAAATGTTGAAAGATTAAGTACTTGAAAAAAAAAAAATCACGTATACTGAACCTTTCAGATTTCACACGATCCCTGACCGACCGATCAGCTCAGAAACTACAATTCTCCATCTTCCTTCCTCTAACGCTTCACACCACCCAACACAACGATATATTTAGGAGACACATTACGTGCACGGATTTTAGTATTTTCGCCTAGATTAGACACAAGCACGCTCCTACGGACACATAAGTATTTTTTGGCTATGTAAGCCTCAGGGTGGTAATGCAATATCAGTCTTTTTATTTTCTTGCATGCAATAAATTAAATTATGTTTTATTTTAATAATAAATTACACTTTATATTTCTTACGTTGATTTTAGAAATTTGGAAAAAAAACAACTAAAATAGATTCGACGTACAAAACGTTAGGAATCTGGTCGTGCTCGCTGATACTTTCGTATTCGACTAACTGTCGTCCGACATTGACTGGCTAACCGACTCCCTCGTTACTCTTACTACTCCTACTTATTATAGGTGGGAGAGTCTATTAACTATAGAATAGGTGTGTTCCACCATAACACTGAGATAGATAGATAGATAGATAGATAGATAGATAGATAGATAATGAACAAACATAGATAGATAGATAGATAGATAGATAGATAGAGATAGATAATGAACACGCTGAGATAGACATACAGATAATGAAGGTACTGATATACATATATACATTCATAGAAAGATAGATAATGCAAAGACCAACATAGATAGATAGATAGATAGATAGATAATGAAGAGATTGGGATAGATACTTATATAAATGAAGATACTAAGATAAATAGCGAGATAGATAGAGAGAGAGATAATGAATCTACTGATAGATAGATAGATAGATAGATAGATAGATAGATAGATAGATAGATAGAAAAAGCGTGTGTGTTTAGTCGCGTATCTTCTACTAATGCTAACGGTGGAGCTGTTCTATCAGTGTGCAACACAGGGTGAGAGTCGAACCCACTTGAGGCAAAAGTGTGGACCACACGCGTACCTCTAACTATTTGGCTTCCTTCCTGAATAGGGATTTTGAAAAAATTGAAACACTTCAATGCAAATATTGTGTCTATTCTCATTGTATTCAATAGAATTTTGCACAATATGAAATGAAATCAAATAAATCGCCACATGTCATGAAATTTATGTGACAAAAGGGAAAGAAAAAAAAAGTCCTTTGTTTTCCTTTGTTTTCGCTTACATCAGATGAGGTATTAAACAATTTGTTTTTGTTCACCAGATTTATTCTTCCAAAAATAAAAGACAATTACATTTCATTCAATTATCTATTCATCTTTATTTCCAAAGACCTGTCAAGTCTGAACCTCTCGAGTAAAATTCCTCAAATTTTGATTTTTTTCGTCGACAATTAATTTTATGACAATTAAAGATACTTTCAAAGCGAGAAAGTCACTCCGCTCTGACGGGCACCGGTTGGTGTGTTCCAATTATCTATATCTTAATCATGTATCTGGTTTTTATTAAAGTAAATTTTCCCATCAGAGCTTTCGAAGTGATCGAGAAAAAAAAAGTCCTGAGGGTAATTTTGACTGAACTTTTACGGATAAATTGCAGTTGCCGGACGTATAAATATGTATTTAGTATTTCATTGCGTTTTTACTTTCCTTCTTTTTATGTACTGTGCCCTCCCCCCAGTACGTAGGTGAACATGGCCCTCTACATCTTCCTGTTCCTTGTAGTTCTTAGTAAGTTTTGTCTTTTTGTTATTTCTTCTAAACCCTGTTCTATCATCTATTTCCTCAAGCCCATCAACTGTTACGCACTGCTTTCCTGTGCCCCTCTTTCCCGCAATCTCTCCCGTGAGTATCAGGTTTTCAAAGCCCTTATCACTCATTAAGTGCCCAAAAAATTTCAACTACCTCTTTCCGGTGTTAAATATGTTTCCTTTTTGTTTCCATTCACTCCAAATCCTCGTTGTTGTTCACATGTTCGGGCCATGGTTATCCTCAGCATCCTTCTGTAGAACCGTATTTCTGTTGCTTCAGGTCTCTTCTTCATCTTTGAGGAGATTGTCCAGCATTTGCGGTCATACAAGAGGTCATATATCACGTAACAGTTCAGTACTCTTTTCTTTGTTTCTAACGAAATTTGTCTGTCTTTTAATAACCTGCTTAGCTTTTGGAAAGCATCTTTCGTCAACCTAATAGTCTTCGGATCTCAGTGTCACACAACCAGTCTTCTGTTAGAACGCTTCCCAGAAATTTAGATTTCTCTACTTGCTTGATTTTAGAATCCCCGATTTATAATTTACATTTGGGACTCATCCTTTTTGCTAACAACCATGCATTCTGTCTTCTTGTAGTTTATACTTAGTCCTTTCTTCTCACTTTCCTTCTCTACCTTCTGTAGGCGATTTTGTAGTTTCCTTTCCGTGTCTTCTATCAACACTGGGTCATCTGCATATCTTATATTTTAAGATTATAGTCGCCAATAATGAATTCTAGTAAGAGGTCGAATTCACTCAGAATTGCCTCGCTGTATGAGTTGATTTAATCCGGTGAGAAGACATATCCTTGGCTGACACCCTTTTTCATTTTTGTATATTTACTAAACTCATTTTCTATCCCAAATATAGATAGATAGATAGATAGATAGATAGATAGATAGATAGATAGATATGAACGGACTGAGATATGACTTGGATTCGTACAAATCTCTATCTATAAAAGGCAGGTTGTGTGTGTGTGTGTGTGTGTGTGTGTGTGTGTGTGTGTGTGTGTGTGTGTGTGTGTGTGTGTGTGTGTGTAACGAATGCACGGTCGCAATTTTCGACGGATTTGAGCCAAAATTTACATGCACATGCTCCAAGTTAATGGAAAGGCCAAGACCGACTTTGCATTTCCCAACTCACATCGATAGTGGAAATAATTTATTTTTTATGCTTCTACGGCAGTTTTCATGTAGTTTGCGGCCATTTTCTACTGGCCAGCGTGAGAGCCTATAGCTGGCTGCCACGAATAGGCAGGAAGATTCTATTGGCCGGCGTGAGAACTAATCGCTGACTGACACGAATGTTAACTAGCATGCAAAAAAATCGATAGCTGCATTCGTCACAAGTGGGAAAAATTCAAATCTGCATGGCACTTTACTCCAATTGGCTCATTCGCTTGCTTAAACTCAACGTTGATTCTGATTCCGCAGAACTGGGTTGGGTGTTTCGATCTTTTTTCGTAACAGATTTAATGTTTAGTATAGAGCTTTGAAAAAATTCGCTGTGTGATATAGGCAAGAAGTAAGGCATGTAGCAATATCAGCACGGCAAAGGCACTCCTTTAAAGGCAAGGAAGGGCAAAAATATTTTAAGTGAAGTGATAGCGATTGCTTTATGAGTCGTACGATTTTTGAATCAAGCACGGGCAACGCCTGGCCATACTGCTAGTAGCATATATACTACAGAATTCAGTAAAACAATGTCGACTCCAAGCGATATTATATTTTCTGACTGTCTTTTCTTTATTCAATGGAATAATGGAATGAAGATATAACAGCTGCCAGTATAGATTCTTGGTTATTCTAATGTCTTTCCCGAATATCTCAAGATTGCTGAGCAGCTCTAACAGATTTCTGTGGCGTAATTTATAGAACGCCTTTGCGTAATCTTTAAAACACAGATACACGTTCGTCTGCATTTGTATTGCTTTTTCTGAGTATAATGAATTCCGTGACCATCACACCAAATAGATATTATCTTTTCTTCCATGAAGTTCAGCTTTTGGAGTTGGGTGTAGAGATTCATCCTCATCAATCCACTGACTTTTGCACTGACCACTGTCTTATGTAACTCGTTTTTCATCATCTGTTATGATATATTAAAGGAAGGATAGGTAATGATTCATTCGTCGCAATGACGGATTAATCATTCCTTATTGTTCCTTACAAAGTGTAATAGTTGTTTCCTCCAAACGGAAATTATTTATGACTGAACCTAATAGTTCTATTTTAAATGAATTCAAAATGGAAGTCTCTGAGGATTTGAGGTTTTTGTTTTGTTTTTATCCCGTGACCTCATGTGTACTGCAGCCACAGTTGAAGTGTTGTTTCTTGGGCAAGATAGTTTAACGGAGACCAACCCTCTCCAGGCCGATTTTGAATTCAGAGATTTTCCTCCTCCGAGACCGGTTGCCGGGCAATGTTATAGAACCCAGTCTGTCCTGATATTTCCCCATAGATGGGAAGAGAAGAAGAGGATACATACCTTTCACTAGGGTATTAGCATGTAAGTGAATGTAATGGATCCGAGTCACTATCCATTACTCCACCGTGCCTCTCCATCTGAGTTACATAATAATAATAATAATAATAATAATAATAATAATAATAATAATAATAAAATGAATGAAGAAGTCCTGCGGAGACTAGTTGATATAGAGTGAAATATATGTCATTTGCGCAGGCGCACATCCAAATCACATACATTAGCACTAAAAACTTCCATGTTTTTTTCGTCTGTGTTAAGACTTACTGAATCAAAAGAAAAAAATAAAATCGTTTATCGGATAACGTTTTCTATGTTCTATACAAATAGTAGGTTTTAAACTGGCGTCCCACTTTGTATATTTAAATAGATAGATAGACGAAGATAGATTGATAGATAGCGACAGAGAAAGAGAGACCGAGATAGATAGATAGATAGATAGATAGATAGATAGAAAAAGACCGATATCGATATATATATATATATATATATATATATATATATATATATATATATGTGTGTGTGTGTGTGTATATATATATATATATATATATATATATATATATATATATATATATATATATATATATATATATATATATATATATACATGCCAAATTATTATCGAGATAACTTTTTTTCTAATATTTCAAAAACTGTCCAATCAATTCACACAAATATTTACACAATGTTGGCAACACTGACTTACGCACTGAAATTTTCGTACTGATCTGCGCAGTGTAAACAAATAAAGAGAGAGAAAGTGAGAGAGAGAGAGAGAGAGGGAGAGGGAGAGACCTAGATAGTTAAATATATAGATAGATAGAAAGGGAGAAAGAGAGAGACCAAAAAATAGATAGATAGATAGATAGATAGATAGATAGATAGATAGATAGATAGATAAAAATAAAAAACAGTGTAAACAATGATATCATTATTATTAGTTAATACCACGCCTTATGCGTAATCATCAGACCATTCTGTGAGGGAGAGGCTGTGTTATGTAGCGGTGTGGGAGTCTGGGTTTTTTCTAATTTTGTTTTTTGTTCATGGCTAATGTTGTGAAATATTAATAACCTTGAGTTTATCATTTTATTTCATTTTTATTGTGTTTATTATTGTATTTTTTACTCTCTCCATTTTTATCACTAAGCATAAACCCCCGCCACACCCACATGCACAGTCACACAGGGTTTATACAGGGTGTCCATAAAGTTTGTGTGCAGTTCAAAAAACTTTATTTGTATTTGCGATAGAAATAATTTTTAAAAAGGATTGGAAAGAAGAAAATCTATATTCTTTAAGGTTTATTGAAATTTTATTTAAGTCTCCACATGTCCTCTATCATTAGCAATACAAAGGGTAATACGATTTTGCAGTTCACGGAAAACATTTGCCAACTGATTTACAGTAATGCCTGAAATCACATTAGTTATTTTAGCTATAATTCGCCCTTGCATGGAGTATTGCTGCCATATATGGTCTGGAGCCCCTTCTGTTTGCCTCGGGGTTCTTGATAAACTTCAGAGGCGGATATGCAATATAATTGGCCGTGCTCTGGCATCTCGCCTACAGTCACTTTCTCACCAACGCGCCGTCGCCTCTCTCTGTCTGTTTTACAAATACTTCCATGGCAATTGCTCCGAGGAGCTGCATTCGCTGGTTCCCAGACTTCATGAGTTCAAACGCCCTACGAGGCTGGCATCCCGCTCTCACCCTTCCACTGTTGAAACTCCTAAATGTAGCCGTCTCTTCTACTCCAATAGCTTCATGTCTCGCACCTCTCGCCTATGGAACTCCCTTCCCTATTCCAGTTTCCCTAAGAGCTATAATATCCAGCTATTCAAATGTAATGTTAATCGACATCTCCAGTTGCCTTGATCTATCCACTACCCTTCTCCTCATCCTTTCTTCTATCACTCCTATCTGTTCTTCTGTAACCCATTGCGTCGTCGTGGCTTCTCGCCTTGCTTAGGGTGAAACGCTTAAAAAAAAAAAACTTAAACCTGGAACATTAAACTTTATAATATATTTTACAGATTATTTCTATCCCAAATACAAATAAAGTTATAAATTTTTTAAAGTGCACACGAACTTTATAGACACCCTGTATATATATATATATATATATATATATATATATATATATATATATATATATATATATATACATGGTGTCCATAAAGTTCGTGCGCACTTTAAAAAATTTATAATTTTTATTTGTATTTGCAATAGAAATAATTTGAAAAAAAAGAATTAGAAAGAAGTAAATCTATATTTTTTAAGGTTTTATTGAAATTTTATTTAAGTTTCCACATGTCCTCCATCATTAGCAATATAAAGGGTAATACGATTTTGCAGTTCACGGAAAACATTTGTCAACTGATTTACAGTAATCCCTGAAATCACATTAGTTATTTTAGCTAAACTTAAAACTAGGTATATTAAACTTGATAAATTTTTTTACAGATTATTTCTATCACAAATACAAATAAAGTTATAATTTTTTAAAATGCACACGATCCTGTTTGTGTGTATGCGTGTGTTTACGTTAATCTTTTAAGACTTAGTGAATATTATTAATCCTTCTTTATTTCTTATATCTTCGAACGTTATGTTTGGTAGTTAGACACGTTTGAGTATACATACCTGTTGTGCCTTCTTTAGAAAAGATAATAACTACCGGCCTAGAGATGAAGATTCTTATTTTTTTTAAAAAAAGGGCCTCACAACTGAAATCCTATCTGAATCTTATTTTTAATCTGAGTAATGACCTTAAATTGGGTGTACGTTAGCATGACGCCGTAGAAACCCATTACTTCAAAGTAAAACTCAATTACAGGAATATCTACACTAGATGTGTACCCACTAAATATGAGGTTAATAGTGATAAGTAATATATATATATATATATATATTGTTTAAAATTTACATATTGTTTGAAAATATATATATATTATTTAATTATATATATACTAGCAGTAGATCCCGTCGTTGTCCGGCGATGTAACAGTAAGAGATAGATCAAGTATCGACCATCATAAAGACTGAAAAATAAAATTGACAAAGATTTTTGTTTAAGGTTGACGGACACGCATGTCTTAATTAGTTTATTTTTGTTTCCTTTTGTTTTTTGTTTTTTTTACGAATTGGTCAAACCCAAACTCAAACAAAAACATTGTTTTCAATCGTTATGAGTCTACCGATTGAATAGAATTTTATTATAAACAATTGTCTTGTAAATGGAATTTTTAAAGCATTCTGAATGAAAAAATAAAGAAAAAAGTGTGCAAGACAATAAGAAACACTACCTGCCAAAAAAAAAGTGAAGTTTTGTTGAAATCAGTTGAAAAATGTAGGAAATCCGATCCCATATATAAATGGACACACACACAAACAACCTGGGTTTTATAAGTATATAACTCGTTGTCCCCCTTTCATTCTCGCGATGCCTCTTAATCGTGTTTTCAAATTGATTTCGTGCAAAAACAATTGTGTTTTTCCGATTTTTGGCGCTGTCAGAACCACCGCAAGTTAATTTTACGTAGTCCTGTGAAATTTTGTTGAAATCGGTTGAAAAATGTAGGAAATCCGATCAAATATATAAACGTACACACACACGCACACACACACACACACACGCGCACACACACACACACACACACATACACATACACACAACCTGGGTTTTATAATAAGTATGATTGTTTAAGATTTGCTACTTCTTGAGGTAGAGGTTTCAATTTTATTTAATAATTTGTTATATATATATATATATATATATATATATATATATATATATATATATATATATATATATATATATATATTGTTTAAAATATACATATTGTTTGAAAATATATATATTATTTAAATATATATATATTGTTTAAGATTTTCTACTTCTTGAGGTAGAGCGTTCAATTTTATTTAATAATTTGTTATATATATATATATATATATAGTTTTTAAGGTGTGCTATATGGGATAAAGTGCTGAATAATAGAGATAGAGCGTATGGAAATATAAAAGTGAACATTGAAGTCAAAACTCGGAGGCGACAGGCTGTTTCATGCTGGGTGCAATCGTCAGGCCATTGCGTCTAGCATGAAAGAGACTGTCGCCTATATATATATATATATAATATAATATAATATAAATGACTCAAACACTAATATTCTATGGTTATAATTTATTACATTGGAATCGTAATCACGCTCCAATTCATCAGATGTGATATATATATATATATATATATATATATATATATATATATATATTGACCTCCCCACAACCAAGGTGGGAGTGCCACTAGCACGGAAGGGGTTACAGAGAATGGGGAGCAAGATTAAAGAGGCGTGAAAGAGGAAAGGATGAAGAGAAGGACGGAGAATAGATCAAGGCATCTGGAGATGTCGATTGACATTGCATTTGAATAGTTGGAGATTAGAGCTATCAGGGTGGCAAATAAGACGAAGGCAGTTCCACAGACGGGAAGTGCCAAACATGAAGCCATTGGAGTAGAAGAGACGGCTAACCGTTTCGACATTGAAAAGGTGGGACGAGTGACACGTTTAAATTCATACAGTTTGGGAACTAGCGAAAGTAGCTCGTCGTAGTTACCGTGAAAGTCGAAAAGATAGAGGGAGGCGACGGCACGACTGTGAGAGAGCGACAGTAAACGAGATGCCAGATCAGGGCCAACCACATTGCATATCCGTCTCTGGATTTTGTCGCGGACCTTAAGACGAACAGCGGAGGTCTAGACCATATATGACAGCAATATTCCATGCAAGAGAGAATGGTTGATTTAGAGACTTGAAGGATGGAATCGTGCGAAAAAAAACTTTCTGGCGCGACACAGATAGCCAAATTTCCTTGTGGTAGATGAAGCTATTGATTCAATGTATTTGTTCCATCTCAGGTCAGCGAACAGCGTGAGACCAAGCAGTCGCAAAGAGGTGTTCTAGTGGAGTTGAGCATCAGGCATTCTAATGGGTGGCAGGGAGTGTTCTTTGTGGTGAGTAATAGAGCGCACTTTTGTTTTAGAAGCATTAAAGTTAACCAGCCATTTCCTGCCCCAGCCAACAATCGATTGGACGTCCTTTTCGAGACCAACGGCCAGGTTGTTTTTGTCAGCGATACCAGATTTGCTATTGAGGCAGGAGTAAATAGTAGTGTCGTCTGCATAGATGCCAACTTGAGAACAGATGACATCAGGAAGATCGTTAATGAAGATGAGGAACAGAGTAGGACCCAGGATAGAGCATTGGGGAATACCTGCGTTCGTGAGAAAGGAACAACAGGCACCCAGATGTTATACAACTGTTGATCAGAGCGGCCGCTCAAGACGCTACGCAAGAGTTAGGGCTCCTAACTACCAGTCGGAAACAGCAACCAGAAAACTGTCAACCTGTACCCTCAAGATGAAGAGACGTTGCCACAGACTGCACACATCACTAGAGAATCACGACAGTACTGCTACGGAGGCCAGATATATATATATATATATATATATATATATATATATATATATATGCGCGGTACTTCTTGAAAAGCGATCAATACCAGTGATAGAGCTAACATATTTAGTTGAATTGATGTGAGTTTGTGACCCTGGGTTTCACGCTCTTGCAATCGTCAGACAATCGCAAGGGCGTGAAATCCAAGGTCACAAACTCACATCAATCAATTATATATATATATATATATATATATATATAAACAGACAAGAAAAAGAATACATTTAGCCGACGCGTTTCGTCCTCTGAGGGACAATGCATGATTTATTTTGCTGCACGTGTTTACATACAAAATCGAAGGTATCACTGGTCTATCAAGGTTTTCTTAAATATTACTCGCTTACATTATTTACATTATTCGGACTATTGTCCTCATCTTTGTCGCCATATTTATCACAACGTTTCGGCCGTTG